CAATTCGGATTACTGGTCGCGGATGATGGAGATTGGACCTGCCGGATTCACAACATCATATTGAACACACTTCGTGCGGAGCATTCCATCGTGGTTGAAGACTTGCCACCGTTGCTCCTCCATCAACTTGCTTTCTTGAAGGGTTTCTGGCCGGAAGTGGAAAGAGCCCAGTTGGAGGTCATCTATCTTGTGGATCCGCCTGCCAGATCATTGAATCGGCATGCAGCAGTGTTCTCCATCTCTCCGACCAGGCGGCTACCTGCAGAAGTGCATTCACATCACACACAAACTTTTCATTGGGCACACAATACCAATGCAACGGCGACTCCCCAGATCTTGAGTGAAGAACTTGTTCGACCAAGCACATGGGAAGAAATCCCACTACCACAACCTGAAGATGATGTTCAGTGGCGACAAGCATGGGTTCCGGCTAACGGATTTTATTGCCGCGGCAGCTTCGGTTCCAAGCACCTCGCCATCACGGCGGCCATGAAGCACGGCGGCTTCCGGAGCTATCGACCTTTCTGTGTAGGAGGTACCACCACTATTCGCCAAGGTCATGCGTCAATACCTTGGTGGAGTCATCGCGGACACAGCGGCATCCCATGTCCATGATTTGCTGCGCGCCAAAGATAACAGACGGAAACTACGATCATCTCTGGCTATACCTGAGTTTGTGTGTCTATTTTGGTAGCGAAACCACTTGTTGAGCCGCTGAATGTTGATTGCTTGGATGATTTGTCTTTGTCTTCCGGAAAACGTGACCTTGCTTGCACTTGACTGAGTTTGATACTGATTAATTACATGACTGTGCATGGTTGATACATGGATCTTTCGGGGCGGGTTATTCTCTCACAGCTTGAGTCAATTGATAATTGCTATTTGTTTTGTGCTTGTGATCCCATGGCGAGTGACGGAGAGAACATGCTGATGCCACTCCGGGACATCGTCCATAAGATCAATGTAATCGTGCAACTGCTCCAGTATAGTCGGGCATCTCCGTGCAATGTTGGTCCATCGCATTCAGTGCCTCACCTGGCCTCCATGATCGCCACCACCGATGGCTCCACCACCCTTACCACCTCCTTCGACACCGCGTCCGTCGACGCCACACCCACCTGCCCTTACGGTCCTTCGCAACCCACACAATGAGCCCGCGGTCAACAACACTTCGTCGACACGGCATGTTCCCAAAGCTGCAGCGCCTATCACGACGCACACTGTGACACCCCACGACGATGATCCCCCTCGGTCCAGCACGGTCAACTTGGTGGAGAGCAGTGCGCCCGTCAGGCCAGGATCACCCGTCAGGCCAAGATCGCCCAAGACGACGGTCCAGATCTTGCCACTATCATTGGCATCTGCGGAGAGGCGCGCCAGGCCCGAGATTAAGGCCTTCTGGTCTTGATCGTCGTGACAGACGAACGTACTGTGAAGAAAATAGTTTGCCTTGCGTAAGTTGAGGAGTGTTGTGGGCGCATGAAATTAGTAGCATTCGATTTGATCTAGATAGGATCCGGCTCAAGTTATCGTGTCTACATCATCATGTTCCTGCCTGACGAGCTCGTCGCTGCCTTGTTCAACCGGTTAATCAACTTCCAATGCCAGATCGCCGCAACTCTGGATAACATACGTGCAGCAGGATATCCGCGGACCCTCCATGTCTCGCCTCGGTTTGCTTGCAATCCTCCTGATGAAGTTGACCCAGGTCGACGCAACGATGGGGAAGTGTCAGCAAGGCGCCGCTCTACTCCCGTGCCACGCGGTTCTTCGCCCACGTCAACACGGGGCAGACATCCTCAGCACGGGCACGCCCACTCTATCAATCGGTGCCACTCATCGCTTGGTCCAGCTGGCCTTCATCGTACGCTTGATCTACCACCTCCGATCGCACCGAACCTGAACACACGTCCCAGGTCCTGCCGATCCAGGTCCCGCTCTCGACGCAATTCCCGTAAGGATCATGTTCGACGCACTACATACGATCCCCATATAGAAGTCCAGCTTGGAGAAGATTTTCAGTATTGGACACAAGATCAGCTCACACAATTTGCAACGTTCAAGAAGGGCACCAAAGCTCGCTACGAGTAGTACAAATCGCTGGCATCCAGATTTGGCATTCAGGAGAAGGTCGCGCGCTTGGCGTGGTCCATCTACCAGCAGTTGACCAACAACGATCTCTAAGTCTGTAGGTAGCTCGGGATTCATGGAATCTGCTTGAGGAAATAGACTCTCGTTCACTCTTTCATGTTGGCCATCCCGTCTCGTGTTGAGGGCTTTGTCTGCGTGATGGTCTGACTTGTAGTTTGAGCCAGTGGTGAGTCTAGATCTCGTTTCACATTGCGTTTCTCTCTTTCTGCCATGTCGCGCGCTGAGCCTTTTGTCGAGCACTATCGCATAGCGGATGATCATGAGCCAACTGAATGGGTGCGGGTTTACATTCCACATTCCTGGGCCAAATGGGATGAGGCGCAGGATGATTTAATTTCACATCCCCTGGTTTATCGTCAGTGGAGGATCGTAAACTGGAGACAGCTGGCTACTCCTTCTTCGAGTCCTACGGCTACTTGGTTGGATGACCGTACGCCAATTTGGTACTATCGCGAGTGGACCACCGTCGGGTGGCAATGTCTCTGTCCGTCAACGGCGTCTGCTCTGCGCACACGGCTTGATGTGCCAGTTGTTACCCCGCCTCCTGCACGTTTGGATGCTTCGGTGCCTGATGGACTCGTATTTGACATGGGGTGTGTGGCTGAACAACGTCCAGTGAGAGAGCGCCCATGTTCTCACCCACGGCTCGGAGCTCTTCGCGCGGTGAAAACAGCCCCTTCGGGGGCGTGTGTGTGTGTGTGTGTGCGCGGAGTCCCAGATCCTGGGACCAACTATTTACTTCTCGACTTCAGCAGGGGGATGGAGCAGGCCTGTGGAGCTCCATCTAACAAAGCTCTCCACAGTGGCCTGAGGACATCACCAGGGACGCCTGGTGACGCACCTGCTTTGAGCCAGAATTGTGATGTTCGTCTTTGTTGATACTACTGACCACTGGCTGTGTGATGTTTCTGCTTTTGCTTCAGAATACACGTAAGCCTGTCTCGAATCTGCCCCTCTCCTTCTTGCTCGATCTACTCGAACTTCGTGTCCGGCCGTTGTGGGATTTAAGTGTGTGAGTGTGTGTGTGTGTGTGTTTTTGTGCTTGTGGGGTTGGACAGGATGACTTGGTTTTGGGGCATAGAAAGCAAAGCCAACCTTGCCCAGGCTACGGGCCCTTTTGGGAACAACCGTTCTGGAGCAGGTTGACACCGTCGAACGGCAGTGGGGTTATGGAGCCCGTCATCAGGTTGATTGGACTATTGGGGCTTGGAATGTTCCGCCATAAGTATCAGATCTTAACAATGATTCCAAATGGCATATCAGCAAGGACCAAACTTGATTCTGTGCGTGTCTAGGTTCCCTGCCTTCAACGACTGGTGCACACGGCTTCAGCGCAGGCAGCCAACTGCCTGGCCCTCGCGGCCTGCTGCAGCATCTGCTGGGCGCAGGGGCGTTGGCTGCAGGCGATGGCTTCTGGGGCGTTCGGGGTATTGCGGGGTGTCGGAGGATTTGGCGGCTTTGGCGGCTTCGGCGGCTTCGGTGGGCTTGGCGGACCAGCAAGGATGGCCAGCACACGAGCAGATAGCTCGTTTTCTGGCTGGCTTCGAAATTCATCCAGAGGAAGAAATCTGTTCGGAAGAGTCCTCATTCTGCGATGAGCCGTTCCAATTCCCAACCCGCCTCCCACCATTCGGATCAGCCCATCATGGCCGAGTTATTCCCTTCGTTTCCAGCCCAGCTGTCCGAAGGTTTTTGTTCTCGTTGTTCTGTTGAGTTTAGTTGCTCCAAGGAACGAAGAGGTTGCGCATTATTTTTGCAAAAACACTCCTTATCAGGTCAATGCGCTGATGTCGCAGCTGGACTGTGCCTGCCAGCTGCTGAAGAAAAAGAGAGGTGTACCATCGGCGATTCGGGAGGGCAGGATTGCGAAATCCAGGAACTACGTCATAGAAAAACCCAGATTTTCTTTTTACCTGCTTGATGTGGAAGGGGTCGCCCCACGTTATTGGGGGACATGCTTTTCCTTCCATTCCCAAGGAACAACATTGTGAAAAGAATCATGCAACCGCGAGCTCACTCCGCTTTTTGTGGTCCAACACCTTTCAAGGGAGGAGGGCGCTGGTGCTTAGCAAGACGAGCCCTTAAAGAATTGGCCACTGTTGAATGTGGCTTGAGCTCGTGCATGTTGGAGTGGCAGCCGGACGGACCCCTCAACCACTTGACGGGGTGAGGGGAGAGAGAATGCACCGGCTCCCAAGGGCCATCCGAGCCATGGGCTTCGTGCTGGATCAGCTTTTCTGGATGTATAAGAGTGAAACAGGCGCTTGACTCGCAGCATTCAAGGGCCCCCGAAACTAGTTAGCTGAAGCAACATCCAAAGGATCCGTCGGTTTTTGGGCAGGTTTGGGGGGTGGCATGGCAGACTGTCACGTTGTGCAACAGGTGGATGAGGCCTGCAAACAAGCTCATAGGATACATACGCGGTGCCCGTACCCAAATCTTTACTTGGATGGCATTCGGTGGGCGCACCCACGATTGCCCTGTTAGGTGATCCCAGCAATTGTTAGTTATAGCCAGTTATTGCCCAAGTTGGGCTGATTGAGTGAGTGTCCATTCGGCGGAGCGATATTTTATCGAAACACTACAGAATCCTGCTGCAGCACTGCAATGGCTATGTCACGGACTGGTGTTGCTGATGATGGGCGGGGACGGACAAATCGCGCGCTTTCCCGCCAGCCAGCCTCCATGGACGAGCATGGCCAGAGGAGGTATGAGGATGGTATCAGATCTGCTGGGGTGATCAGCTGACAGCTTATCCAAGTCAAGTCAAGCAGTTGTTTTGCCTTTGTGACTGCCTCATTCAGAACAAGCTGCCTTGCCATGGGAGGCCCCCACGCCAAAAAAAAACAATTGAGCCCGGTTTTGAGTCACCGCCGCTGCTAGCGGCGGATTCACTACCAATGGATGCGTGGCTCGGCTCGGGAGCAACTGGCGCGGGATTGGGCAGCAACGGCCCACAGCTCCTGTTCCCGGGTAGGGATTGAACCGTGTTGCAGTGTCCTGGGGCGTATTTGTGGCTTGTTTACGTCCGACAGACATTTTGTGTTGCAAGTTGAGCTCCGAGCTATTGTATTGCTCGATACATGTATGCATCGTCGTGTATCCGATTTATGATAGAGCTAGATATTTGCTTTGATGTTCGCTCTGGTGGAATTGCCGCTTGCCTCTAGATGTTAGGGCACGTGCTTGGACATCGCCAGCGGCATGGTTCTTTAGGTAGCACGGCACTTGCCGCGCTTGATTGTCAAGGATTGCCGCGCAGACCTTGAATCAGATCTTCAACAAGGCCGACAGATCAGTTCGGATTGTGGGATCCCAACGCGGAGCCAAACACATCTTGGAGCAAATAATGAGACATGCCCCTCTTGGCCTGATTCTTTGGACATGTGCTTGTGAGTTCCTTCCTGTAGTATAGCTTCAAAAGCCGTGTTTCAGGCTTAGCGTATTCTCAAAACCGGGACTCCAAGGTTTCTTGCCTCTTAAACTCTTTAACTTCTCTTGCCTCCGAGGATCTTCGGGCTTGGGCGCCCAGCGGGTCGTTGCCCGACGCTGGCAAGTCGGCAAGTCGGGTTTGGGGGGTTCGGGACTCAAGCGAATGGATGCTTCACACACACTCTCTCGCTCTCTCTCGCTCTCTCTCTCTCTCTCTCTCTCTCTCTCTGCTTATGATTATGTTCATGATAGAATGACAACTATCATAGTCGTGATGACAATAGTTATTCTTGTTGATATATTTACGAATTTGTATAGTATGGTATATAGCAGAACGTCATGGTATAGTGACGTGCCAGGGTAGTTGTCAAACTGGGCAGTTGCACAAGCTAATGATTTGCAAAACGGCAGCACCCACATTGGTTTGGCACTATAACGAATTGCCATGTTGCAAACATCTCATATCAGCGTGTTTCTTTCCGAAGGGTGCATGGTGGAATTTCAAAGGCTTTGTTATATGCCTGAGCCGGGGATTTGGCTGAGTGGCAAGTTTCTTTGGTGGGGGAGTTGCCGCATGTCCTACCCAGGCCAGCTTAGCAGGGCCTGCAACTTGAAATCTCATGATTGGATTTCTTGCTCCTCTTCAGTGTTGATTTGCTCTCCTGTGTGAGGGCTGGATGCACCTTCTGATTTCGGCTGGGATGCGCAGCACTTTCGGGGGCAATTGAGAGTAAGGACACGCGGAGACTCACCAACATCGTTGCATTTTCCTGATGAATAATTCCGGCATTTGAAGAGAGGGGCTGATCTTTGTCAACGCGGCGAGGTCCTCCGCCTTCGGTGTGGCAGGGGGCTCAGGTCCACATCGCAGAGGGCATGGGTCCTCGTAGGGGAAAAAAGGTGAGCGTTGAACAGATGGGTTCAGTTCCACACTCCAAACCCAAAGAGCCATTCGGCATGGACTCTCACTTAGACACTGGCTGGGTTTCCCAGGGTCCAAAGCCAGCGGAACTTGGCCTCCATTTAATGCCCTTCCGGCAAGTGGCTCATCGTTGTAGCAATTGGTGGACCATTCAGTCATGGAACCTCTTTTCACCAGTGAATGCACTAAGGCTCAGGGCGCTTGGCCCTCCAATTGGGGAATCCTTCCCACATAAAGAGTTCAGACTGAGACAAGTTGAGGGTTGCCAATTTGCATTTACAGCAAAAGTTGAAACACGGAAAGCGCAGCTTTTCATTTGGTTGACCAGACGGGAGAGAACGGGGCTCTGCCTGATGTGAACTTTGCCCATCTCGTGGTCTCACGGCTTACGGTCTGGCGACCCAGGTTCACACAGACTTCCGTGTGCTGGTGCACGAGGCCACGAACGTGCCCTCCTGGTCCGGGCCGAAGGAAGACGGAAACGCAGGGGTTGACGGCCACAAACAAACAAACAAACCAACCAACCAACCAACCAACCAACCAACCAACCAACCAACCAACCAACCAACCAACCAACCAACCAACCAACCAACCAACCAACCAACCAAACAAACAAACAAACAAACAAACAAACAAACAAAGAAAAAAAAAACAACAACAACAACAACAACAACAACAGCACTTTTGCGAAGCACCCATTGGATCAGCGCCCCACAGGCCCCGTGACCTTTTAGACTTTCAGACCTGCAGCACAGAAAGCCTCCCTCAGGTGCCGAACCCTGGTGGTCTCCTGGAAGAAGGGTGTCAAGGCTCGACGGCATGCGGTGGCTTCAGTGTGGAGGTTGGAGATTGGTCGTAGCAGGCGGAGGCGAGGCCTTCAGACAAACAACGACACAGGTGTAGCAGGGTATCCTTTAGGGTATCATTTAGATTTGTTTATGGGGAATCCTTGCACCTGTGTATGGAACAAATAGACTGACTGGTTCGGGCTGAGCAGCCGTGAAATGACTCGCAAGTGCTATTAAGGAAAGAAGCCGAGCATCAACATCACGCAGTAAAACTGGGTGCTACTATTTGCCAGCGGACAACCAGGCAACCAACTCAAAAGCTAAAACCGCCGGTTTGACAGCGCATCGCCAAATCGGAACCTTCCCGCCCAGTGCGTGTCCACGGAGCCCGCGCCGGTGCAACGGGGCCGCGCAGAGCCGGGCTGCACAGCGGGGCGGGCGCACGTGGCGTGTCCTGGCGCCGGAGGAAAAGCCCCAGAGGGCAGACGAGGACGCAGTGTACGGTGCTTTAGAAAGTGACGGCTTTAGAAGCGTGCGAGTTGCCTACTTTGGATCGAGAGGTTTGGGCTGGAAGGCAGACGGAGTTGGGCAACTTCCCTGTAGAAAGCATGCAGGGGAGGGGTTGCAAATGACGGGCGCCGTCCATTTGTGGACCTTGATCCTTGTTTTCTTGGGTGGGAGCCAATCTGAGTTGAAGCAAATTGATGTACACTAACCATGTAGGCTCCGACACCAAGCTTTCAAGAGAGATTGGTTCTGACGCCAGGATCGTTGTATTTTTTGAGTTGTGTTTGAGGCTGCGAGGCCAGCCGCCTTCAGCATGTAGAGAACTGCAACAAGCGGAGCAGGCTGCAGCAGGTGCCCTTGATTGACAGCGATGCTGCATGTATGCCAGGACAAACAAACCGCTGGGACCTGGGTGCCAGGCGGATTTTAGACATCTTCCAGATTCGCTGGCCTCTGTGCCAATCCAGCCTTTCGACAGATAGCACCGAGCCAACTGTGACCCGACAGGTTTTAGACAGGGCAGTCTGCGGCCACATGCTTTGGGGAGAGATCCTCTTGGGCCCTGGGAGGCGCTCCAGTCTTCAGAGAGGGGAATTACGCCTCATTGAAATTCCGAGGCGGCTCTTTCGCTGGTTTGGGAAACCTCCTTTCGGAAGTCGGAAGAATGCACCGCTTCCAACGACTGACCAGCAGCAACAGCCATGTACCCACTTGGCATGTTTGAGCAAGCGCGATGCTGAGTCGCTCACATTTTGGCTCAGGTGGAATCAGCCCTTGAACGTGAGCTGCGCGCTATGCCGCGTTACCAAGTCTGGCCAGGCCGGTCCGTGGGTGCTTACCAAACAACAACCAGCCCAGCCTACTGCCATTCAATATGCAGCAACCTCCAACCATCCCTCCAAAAACAAGCACGAAACCTGACAGAGGGTATCAAAAGGAACATGGCTTCGGAAAGGGCAATGCGGGGATACTCAAAACTGATGGCCTTGATTGCGAGTGTGCCCGATTTCAGGCTTGCGGCTTTGGAATGAAGCCATGACGTATCGCTGCTGTTCTTTTTTGCCTTTGATTCAGTTGAGTTCAGTGATCTAACAGACATTGGCAGATCAAGTTATTCTGTATTTGTAAGATGTTTGGAGCCACTTGGCAGCATCTTCTAGCATGATTCTTATTCAATTGTCTCTGGCTTGCTTGAAGTAGCTCCTGATACCGACAGGTGAATTCCTGCAGCTGCATTTTGCACCATCCAAGAGATCTGGAACATCCCAACCTACTGGCACAACTTGTGCAGAAGGGGCTACCTCACAAGTACTGTATTTTCGCCACAACATCACTTTTGACTTTTTGGCATCGGCGCTTTACGGAGAAAGGACTTGTTCGGTTCAAACTTGCAAACACCCGCGAGTGGCAGGTCCAGGTGCAGGCCAAGTTCTGCTGGCTTCAGGTGGGGCGCCAAGGGCCCCAAGGGGCCTTGGGGCCTTGGCACTGCTTTTGCTTGGGGAGAGGGATCCTTTTGCTTTGGGGGCTGTGGAGCTTCTTGAATTTGTTAGGGCATGAGGGCGAACGAGCGTCTCGAACAAGGTGCCGCATTCTTGACATGCCCTTTTAGTTGAGTGATACTCGCGGTCGCTGAGCATTTGACAAGCTTCTGCTCCAATCCCAGCTCATCACCGGCAGGATCTCCGATGTGTGTGAGTTTTTGCTAGCGGTTTCTTTGTTTTGTTTGTTGGCTGGCTGGCTGGCTTGCCTGCCTGCCTGCCTGCCTGCCTGCTTGTTTGCTTGTTTGTTTGTGCAAACCATTGCGTCTCCTGTGCTGCTAATGCGGCCTTGAGTACCCATCATGCCCTGAATACCCATCATCAATCAGAGCCATACTTCCAGTCGCTTCTTTTATGCGTGGTTCCCAGAATTTGGGCCTCCTTTCCTGTTTTCAAGCTCGATTTTTTCCAGAGCTAGACGCGTTTTGTGCACACGCACACATGTGGCATGTGCCACGCCGTATTTCGTGTTCCTCGCAATCTCTTGGAAGGCTCCTGCAAGGTAAGCCCTGCCAGGCGACATGAATGCCTTAAACTGAGGACCCCATCAGACTGGTTTTCAGACGGACCTACCGATACCACATAATTTCCTTGTTGCTGGTTGGGTATCATAACATTCGCAGTATTCGAGAACAATGATGTGTCGCTAATACTCGATGTGCTTTTTTGCAAGCAACAGCCACACCATTTGATCCATCAAGGCGCTCGTTTGTTCTTCCGAGTCTTACCTGAGTTTACAGAGCTATGGCATGGCGTGATTGCAACCTGTTGTCCACTTTGGGTGTGTTTGTACGAGCGGATGGTTTCTTAGGGTTGCCAGAAAAGCAGTGCATAGGTGTGCCAGGCACACAATAACGGATTCTTATGTGCTTTTTGGGAGCACTAGCAGTTGGCGTCAGAGAAGCTTTGATCTCCAACAGAGCTCTTCAATATCTCGACCGAACCGGCTGCTCTCCATTGTGGAAGTACACTTGTTATGGTCCATTTTAGTGTTGGTGCGTAAACCTCACTTAAACCCAGGAAAGCAGCGTGCAAGACGCACCGCGACCACAGCAGACGGCCACCCCCTTCGAGTCCTTTGAGTCCTGGAGCTCGCCAGGTCTTCAGCGAGGACTCGCCCCTGGGCCACGACTGGCTGAACCTGGCGGACGTTTGCGACGGCCAGGCTGGGGCCGAAAATCGGCAGCCGAGCAAGGCCGTCTCCGAGGGCCAGAGCTCGGGCCAGAGGGCTTTCTTCGCATTCGCGATTTCAGGCTGCAAATTCCTGGCTCTAGGCATTCTCCTTTGTGCTGATGCACCCCGAAAGAAAGAGTGAAACAGCACAGAGAGGAAGCCGTTCTTTACCGAGCCTTTGCGTTGAGGGGTGAGGTTGAAGAGCGCTATTCTCTCTGAGATCCGAATTTGAGATGAGACCTGGCTTTGAAAGGGTTCTTGCAGGTGATGCTGGCTCTTCTTGAAACAAGCTTTTCTCATGGGCATGCTTGCCCCTGTTTAACATCATACAAGCTTGCCTTGGGCACAGGACGCCTGGCGCAAGTCATATAATTGCTGTGTCTTTGCTACATGTTCTGAGCCAACAACGTTTGTTCACTGCAGCTCCACTCCGGGAAGGTTCACAACCGCACGCTGCAGATTTGGAAGGCGGAGGGGGTGGGGTTCTGGGGTCGCGGGGGCTTCTTATGGTTCAAACCTTGACTGGTTTGCCAAGGAAGGGTATTCCGGCCTGCAGATTGATCGATTCCCAGCTGGTCAGTGGCACCCTCGTTTTGTTGTCAAGGAGAAGCAGTGGCTGAAAGCTTGGAGCAAGCCAACGCAGAACACATCACGAACAGATCACGATGCTTCCAGAAAAGATGAGAACTATGCATCTTCTTCTTCTGGCAAACTCGGAAAACAACTGGCTTGGGCATAGACGCATTCAGAGACTCCACTTGGAAGTGTGTCAAAGTAGGCAAGGGCTTAAAAAGCAGAAAAGAGGGGCAAACCAACACCTTGAAGTGCCAGTCCATTGTTTTCCATCTGATTTTCCAAGAAGATGAGGAATGCGGCGCATGAATTTGCCAGAGATTCGCAACCGGCAAGTTTGTTCCCATAAACTGTTGGCTTCCCAAGATGAGGTTTGCAGGCTGCAAGTCAATGCACATGAACGAGAAAGGACCCCGCCTCTTTTCACGCACACCGACACAGATTTGGTTTTCTCGCATCGTCTTGTCCGGCTTTCATTTCAAGTGTTGTGTTTCACAGGGTCTAAAGGGGGATAGTGTTGACCGGCCGGTATAAGAAACACCTAGGGTGCCATGCATAAAGCACCCACCCCTTTTAATTCGGTTTTCTGTCTAAGCAGGTTTTCAATGCCGCCCAACCTGCTCTCTGTTGGATTGAGCCATGGGGACGGCCAAACCTTCCGCGTGGCAAAAGAGGAATCCAGGTCCGCCGGCCTTGTCCCCGCTTCCCGCACGAATCCCCAGGTCGCCTTTTTCTTCTGGCGGGTCGCTTTCCAGCGCAGTGGGTCTGGTTCAGGGAGGGACTGACGACCTTTGGGTTGGATAATCCTTGCGTTCCTTACCTGTCACAGGCGGATCCAGGAAGATTGCGGGGCTCGAGTTGAGCACTACGACACCTGCCCAACAAGGATTTCAGGATAGACGAAAGAGCTCATTCCGGTATGCCTGCTGCTAAGTGTGTAGTGCGTGCTTTGGATGCCTCCGCCTTCCAACATATATGCTTCTCCCACAAAGTGAGCAGAAACGGCCGGCACAGCTTTAGCTTCAAATTCTTCTTCAGTGGGTCTCGCTGCTGGGCACAGGGTTCGCTCAAGCGAAAGCCAAGCTGAAGAGACAAACCAAAGAGCCAAAGGATTCAGCAACCTGAAGGTCATGATGTGCAACAAGGCAGCCTTTCAGTGGTGGTTTGTGTAAGAAGCGTGTCACACAAACCCGCCCGCCTCAAGCTGTTGGGTGGGGCTGCGCGCGCCTCTCCTGCGAGCGGAGCCGGGTGCAGCGGCGATGCTGGGGACCAATTGGGCAGGGGACAGTGCACGGTGACAGGGAAGTGGCCATGTAAGGCGTTGTCTTTGAATGAGAGAGGGTGAAGTGCCAACCCGGTTATGGTGGGGATATTTCAATTATCAAAGTGGGCATTTACACCATACTCACCTTTCTCACCAGCCGTCCTGGTGCACTAGCGCGTTCAAAGTAGGTGGAGCACGCACTGCTGCTCTGCGACCTAGAACTTATCAAACGTTTGAATAGAAAGCTAATCTTGTCAGCTAGATGGGTGGAAAGCTACTTTTGTCAACTAGGCGGCCCCAATGATTTGAAAGGATAGGAAAAAGGCCACAGAGCTCCATTGTTTTCTGCTGCAACGTGCCGGGGTCGGGGCGCAAATTTTGGGGGGGCTGCTTTTACCCCAACCCGTCGTGACCTTGGTGAAATTCACGAGCGCCAAGGTTGCCTCCTCCGCCCGGGGCACCCAGGAGAAGGGAGCGGAAAAGGAGATATCACAGGGCTGCACTTTGTAGCAAACTCCAGCTACCGCAGGTTTTCAGGAGCCGCTAGGACATCTGGTTATTTGGAGTTGATTGTGCCAGGAATGGTCCTCAAACCTTGAACAGGACATCAAATGAACCATGGACGATGAAGGTATTTGAGTCATTTGAAGGTCCCTGGCATGCCCTGGCCAGGGCAGATTTGACTTTTCCGATTTCGATACGACGTTGATATTTTTTGCAGTCTTATTGTGGCTGTCCCATTTCATAGCTCAGATTCCAGGATTCCCGATGCACTATGATTTTGGTATGTACTTGGTAGTGTTCTATGTACTGGGTTTCTCCCCCAGCCGTATCCACAAGGCTGCGCTGGTCTCAGGAAGTGGTGTAAAGGCTGCAGCACTCATCAACTACCTGACGTTCAATTCACACGCCAGACACCGGCGTTAGGAGATCGAAGGTACATGTTGAATTTGAGCAGCTGAGTTGAATGCTTATTGGGGAGGTCATTCAAATATGCAGCAATCAATCTTCCCACTCCATTCAGAGTCACAGCATCTACGAGAGATTCTTTTTTGTGTACTTGTTGACAATTGAGAATTGTCATTCGGATGCGTCTTGTGGCTAGGTCAAGAGATTGTCACAACCTTTGGAAGGGAGGATTGCCCCGTTGGTGGCTATTTGGCGATCAACTTGCAGCAGCAAATAAACCGGTGATCCACCCCATGGCGTGAACACGCATGGGCCCCTTCTGTTCCCGCAAAACCACAACCAGAGGGCCAATTTGAGCCACTTCTGATCAGTTTGGGAGCCTTTTCAGGGTGCCCTGACCCTTCCCGCTGACATACGAAGACTGGATGCCACTCTTTTAAGGGGGTCTAATCCAGTTTCATGCACTCAGGACAGGATGCCATGAACAATGAACATTTAAAGTATTGCACACCGAGACCTCATGACAGCAGGAAGTAGCAGGTGCAATAGTTTGGACGGTGCGCACAGTTCGCTCCCGAGGGGCATGCCGCCACCGGCAACCCGGCGGGTGACAAAAGTGGGAGCTCTTTCTGGGCTGGGGATCACATTGTCAGCAACCCCACCGGGAAGTTGAAGTTGCCAATCGATTCGTGGGTGTTCAGGACACTTTGAAGTGGTTCGCGATATTTTGTGTACAGGCATGTTCTCTGCGTCAAGGACAGGGAATCTGACAGTGTTCTCTTGGAACGACTGCGTGCCCTCTTTTCGCAGGAGTACTCAGCAAATTAGAGACCTTTTCTCTGGTGCCTGATTCGTTTTCCAGTCGGGAAGGAATCCTTTGCGCTCGACCCTTTTCTTTCAGATAGAGGAAACGGGGAGTGAGGCTTGTGATTTGAAATGGCTTTGGGCAGTTTGAGCTGGAACTTTTGGTTGACTTGCATGAAAACAGAGAGTGTGCGTCCGCCCAGTCACCAGTATGGGTTACAGGTTATAGAGACAATTGCATTATTATGAGGGCAGGAAGCATTGGGCCATCAGCTTATGGTTAGGAAAGGAGCGGCGGCCATGATTGGAGAAGGCACAGCTTTTGAGCTGTCTCTGGGGCCAGACGGCAGCAGTTCTTATCTCAAGGCAGCTTGGGCGGTGGGCCTAGAAGAAGGATGGCCATTGCTCATGCAAAATCTCAAAGAGGAAGGGAGCAAGTAGCTGCCCCCAAGTTGCCCATACTACCAATGGTTGGTTGACGTTTCTTTGCTCTGAAACAGCCGCCATTTAGGATCGCAGATTTTGGAAAGCTTCGGATAGGGTGTCGAATCGAACAGCCAGGCAAACTTCCCCAAGCGGTGTGCTTTGGGCAAGCGCGAAACACCAGACCCATCTTAGGCGCCCCCGCCGCCACCAGGCGCGTTTCCTCAGTGGGCGCTGAGGAAAGGGAGCGAGGGCTTTCACAAGGGCTTGGAGACGCTGAGACAAAGGGCCATTTATATTTTGCTAACAACCAACACATCGTTTTCAGCCGCTCGTGTTCGGGTTCGCTGCTTCGTATCTGGTTCGACTTTTACATTTTTAGTTTTCGATTCAAAGGTAGCGCAGGGCAGGGTTGCTTTTGGCAGCCTGTTTGCCGCTTCCGGCTGAGCCAGGTTTCCCACCGCCAATGGCGCCCGCGGCACCTGCGGCGCCTGCGCTGCCCGCCCCAGCCGCGCCATTGGCAGTGCCGGTGCGGGGTGGGTCGGTGGGTCGGTGGGTCGGTGGGTCGGTGGGTCGGTGGGTCGGTGGTTGGGTGCGCGTGGTGGGCGCGGGCTCCGAGATAAAACAGGATTTGCTGCCCTCCAATTATGTTGCAATCGCGAATTCAAGCCTCAAGTGTCATTTTCCCCTTGCTGCGAGCCTTAAGTTGAGCAACAAAATCCAAACATCATTCTGGTGCCACAATCCCGAACCGTTTTGGCTTTGCAATGTTGTTGCGTTTCCACAGCGGATTTTTCAGCAGGCAATTTGCTTTGGCTACATGTGTGCTGCATGAGACGTTTTCGTGCGCAAAATCTGCTTCGCCGGTGATGGATGTGGAGTTGGGGTGCTTGTCTTGCAGCGCAGGCGTGGTATCGCGCGCATTCTCGGAGAGAAGTACCGAACGCAAGTTTCGGTCAGAAGTGCCTTACAGAAGTGTTGCCCAGAAAAGCCATTTGTCAATGTCGCTCTGAGGGTGCTTTGGGCAGGATTGGTGGTTTTCAGGGCCTGTGCTGAAAAGTTATGGCAAAGACACACACAAACACACGCACACACGGCGCGACATGCAGTTGATGAAATTGCGTTCTGAGCAGCAAGGTTTCGTGGCACAATTTGGGAAATCCGCTTTATCAATATGCTGTATGCTGCTACGAAACATGTTGCAACATGTGTGTGCACATGAATGTAAGTTATGTTATGTTATGTTATGTATGGGTGTGTGTAATGTGTGCATGTGTATGTATGAATGTAATGTAATGTAATGTATGTGTTTGTGTATGTATGTAATGTAATGTAATGTAATGCACAAAACATAATGTAATGTAATGTAATGTAATGTAATGTAATGTAATGTAATGTAATGTAATGTAATGTAATGTAATGTAATGTAATGTAATGTAATGTAATGTAATGTATGTAATGTATGTATGTATGTATGTATGCATGTAATGTATGTATGTAATGTAATGTAATGTAGTGTAATGTATGTATGTATGTATGTATGTAATGTAATGTAATGTAATGTAATGTACTGTAATGTAATGTACATGTATGTATGTATGTATGTATGTAATGTATGTATGTATGTAATGTAATGTAATGTATGTAATGTATGTATGTATGTAATGTATGTAATGTATGTATGTATGTATGTATGTATGTATGTAATGTATGTATGTATGTATGTATGTATGTATGTATGTAATGTATGTATGTATGTATGTATGTATGTATGTATGTATGTATGTATGTATGTATGTATGTATGTATGTATGTATGTATGTATGTATGTATGTATGTATGTATGTATGTATGTATGTATGTATGTATGTATGTATGTATGTATGTATGTATGTATGTATGTATGTATGTATGTATGTATGTATGTAATGTATGTATGTATGTATGTATGTATGTATGTATGTATGTATGTATGTATGTATGTAATGTATGTATGTAATGTAATGTAATGTAATGTAATGTATGTATGTATGTATGTATGTATGTATGTATGTATGTATGTATGTATGTATGTATGTATGTATGTATGTATGTATGTATGTATGTATGTATGTATGTATGTATGTATGTATGTATGTATGTATGTATGTATGTATGTATGTATGTATGTATGTATGTATGTATGTATGTATGTATGTATGTATGTATGTATGTATGTATGTATGTATGTATGTATGTATGTATGTATGTATGTATGTATGTATGTATGTATGTATGTATGTATGTATGTATGTATGTATGTATGTATGTATGTATGTATGTATGTATGTATGTATGTATGTATGTATGTATGTATGTATGTATGTATGTATGTATGTATGTATGTATGTATGTATGTATGTATGTATGTATGTATGTATGTATGTATGTATGTATGTATGTATGTATGTATGTATGTATGTATGTATGTATGTATGTATGTATGTATGTATGTATGTATGTATGTATGTATGTATGTATGTATGTATGTATGTAATGTATGTATGTATGTATGTAATGTAATGTAATGTAATGTAATGTAATGTAATGTAATGTAATGTAATGTAATGTAATGTATGTATGTATGTATGTATGTATGTATGTATGTATGTATGTATGTATGTATGTATGTATGTATGTATGTATGTATGTATGTATGTATGTATGTATGTATGTATGTATGTATGTATGTATGTATGTATGTATGTATGTATGTATGTAATGTAATGTAATGTATGTATGTATGTATGTATGTATGTATATGTATATGTATGTATGTTTGTATGTATGTAATGTACTGTATGTACTGTAATGTATGTATGTATGTAATGTATGTATGTATATATGTATGTATGTATGTATGTATGTATGTATGTGATGTATGTATGTATGCTTGTTATGTATGTATGTATGTTATGTATGTATGTATGTATGAATGTATGTATGTAATGTATGTATGTATGTATGTATGTATGTATGTGTGTATGTATGTATGTATGTTATGTATGTATGTATGTATGTATGTATGTCTGTATGTATGTATGTATGTATGTATGTATGTATGTATGTATGTATGTAATGTATGTATGTATGTATGTATGTATGCATGCATGCATGCATGTACC